TGAGGATAAATTGCTAAATAGCTCTTGATGTATGTGAGATTTTTGGCAAGGTTTACCAAGTAATACAATTTATATTTAAGAATGCTTGCTCATCCATTTTAAGCAGAAATAAATAAAAAAAAAAAAAGAGTTGGTGAACTTCCAAATCACAAATGATGGATTTTTGTCAATTATAAAACATTATGAATTTGCAACCTTTTTATTCTAGTGCTCAAGGAACTGCCAGCTATTTAAAACTGTACCTTTAGGATTATTCACAAGGTTTAACAAAAATAAATACCGTTTTCAGGTTGTCTTTGGCACGCTGCAATTTGGCAACAGTGCCAAGAAAACCAGCACAGCACACCCTGCACTGCCAGACTCAGCCTTGCAAGAAGAGGAAAACGTAGTACAATGCAAACTTTAATGTCAATATATACAGAGCTTTAAAGAAAACATTTCTTTTAAAATTAAATGAAATAAATACAGTATGATACAAAATCCACAATATGCTTTAAGAGAAAGAAATGACAGTTACAATATCTGAGAATGGGGACCTTTTGGATGGTTCCATCTTTGAAGTACCTCAGAGAGCACGGAATTCATTGCACTGCTTGCAGGTAATGCCCTTTCACTGTCACCACTCCCGTGCCAGGGCAGGGCCAGCTCTGCCCAGGGGGTCAGTGCAAGGTGCCAAAGCGCTCGGGACAGGATGACAATGCAGTTCATCAACGACACTGCCCCAAAGCCCAACAGCCACAGCTGAACCCCCGGGCCTGCAAAGGAGAGCCACCCCCAGCACCTCCAGCTGTCACAGAAAAAACCCAAGAGAGGATTCAGCGTTATTCAAACTCGCTATTGGTACTGAGCTGTTGCCCAAATATTGAGATATAATCAATCAAGTATCTTCTAAAGCTTTCAGAGAGAGTTTGCTTTCATTACACAGGAAAAAGCTCGAGAAAACCAGCTGCTGATGATTTTATGGGGGCTTCTAATTGTATGAATTGTTATAAATACTCAAGTCAGCTTTAGCTACACACTCAGGGTGGGGTTTTCCCAAATTTGTATTTTCTTCTATTCCCAAAGGCACAACATAAATTGGGGGAGCAAACATTTAAGAACTACACTGAAGCAGAGACAACCAGTACTCAGAATGTGCTGGACTAGAGGATGTTAATGCAGATGGATGGTACAGTGTGAATGAGAAGGTGTGTTACCAACAGGTATCAGCACACACCCAACGTGGTTTCTGAATGAACTTCCAAGGAGAACTGTATGGGTTTTAACCTTACAGGATTAAATAAGGGCTCTGTTATCATCACAGCTTCGGGAACCTTCTGAAAACTCACGAGAAAGAAAAATTTGCTCCTCTCTTCCCCTCCCACAAATACTTGCAAACTTTTAATTCTGGATAGGACTGAAAAACTTAAGTGCTACAGAAGTACATAAACCCCCACGTCTGCACTGCTGTTTTAGCCTAATTTCACTGATACAAATCAGGAGAATTATTATAGCCTTATTAATTCATTGAACTCAGTTCCACAGACCAGCCTGTAACAAGGAACTTCCAAGTGCTGAAGTCTGCTCGAGGTAATTTAATCACTGGACAAACCAAGATCAGCTTTGAAAAGTGAACTGAAACAGGGCAGACAGAATTCAAGCTCAACGGGACTGACTTGGGCGAGGTTTTGGATTCCCCCTCTGGATGCAGGGATGCTTAAATCACACTACAGTGAACAGCACAGCTGCAGCACCTGCACCTCAGGCTCTTGCTGTGGTCAAGGATTTACTGGTTTTAAGGAAAATGGGGAAAAGAACCAAAACCACACAACACTGAGGCTACAGAAGCCACAGACTGACTGAACCCACCCAGGCCACGCTCTCAGTGTGGGCACTCTGTGTCACCCACCACTGGCTCACACCGATGCCTCTGCAGTTTGTGGATATGTAACAGGAACACAACAGACTCCCTCACTTTTTATCAGAAGGATAGCTGAAGATGGAAACAGTGATATCCAAGGGGTGAGAGACCAGCAAAGCATGTCCTGAGCCTGCTCCAGCTCCAGCTGATGTCTGTGGGATCTGCCCCCTGTGCACCAGAGAGTTGGAGCTTATTGAAAATTATCACCAAACATCAGAGCAGAAGCCATTGCCAAAATATTGTATCATTCAAGTTTTAGTCCTGGGGGAACTCCTCTAGGCTGAATGCCTGTTTCTGTGTAATTACCAGTCTTTGTAAAAATTTGACTCACTTTTTCCCCTAACTCAGTAAATATGTGAACTTCAGCTGTGCCCAGATGATATGAAAGTTAGACACTGTGCACTGACCTCTGTTCCAGTCACCTGTTCTTCTATTTCAAACATTTAATTGACAGCCCATGAGCAGACCATGCTACTTTTATATCACAAAACCTAAGCTGGGAAAAGTAGGGATGAGAAATATGGAAGAAGTTCCAAAAGGAACACCTCAAAGATGATCATTAGACACAGAAAGAGCGAACTGCACATGAATTCTTCTGTATTCCTGCACATCCAAAATGTTTCAAAGATTGATATGCTGAAACAGTCACAGCAAGGGAACTTCCCCCCCTAAATTAAGGATTACAACTGGCATACCAGGGTACCCTAGCCTGTCAGATATAACATATCCACACGTTCTCTTCATGATAAGACAACTCTGTAACGTTGCAGTCACTGACACTTTCCTTTTCCCCCAGGAGCATCACCTTTACTAAAGGTCAGGAGCGATATGAGACCAGCAGGGATAACTTTAGAGCTGTTTTACTCTGCCAAGAATCAGAACATCCACCCTGTTTGTGTTCTCTGCCTTGTCTGTGTACTTTTCCTCTCACCACCTTTGTGCTGCACACCAAGAACAACTTCAGTACCTCCAGCTGCTTCCAACTGCTCTTGTGCAAAATGCTTTTAAGGTGCTTATAATGTGGTGCTTCTACAAGCTAAAAGAAAATACCAATAGAAACTCTGTTAAATGATTCATGGGTAAAGCCATTAAAGACCAGCTGCTGCCTTACAGGAAAGGCAATTGAAGACAATTCAAGTTTGACATTTCCATTGTGTTCCAAGCCTTGCATTTACCTCTCATCCCCACCACAGCTTTTACCACTACATTTCAACCCACATTACACCTTGACCTTGGCTCAGGGAGTTTCATTTCCACCATTTTGCCTTTTTTTTTTTTTTTTTTTTTTTTTTTTTTTTTTTTTTTTTTTTTTTTTTTTTTTTTTTTTTTTTTTTTTTTTTTTTTTTTTTTTTTTTTTTTTTTTGAGTGAATTCAAATTCTTCTGGCAGTCAGCCCTGAATTTACATCAGAATTCTCCTGACAGAGCGTGGACAAGAGGTTTACAGGCATTCTTGCTGGCAAAAGTCTCCAGAGTTAAGGAAAAGGAAGAAGAACCAGCTGCAAAAGGGGCAGATTTTCTCCTAAACAAAAAGCTTTTCTAGGAAGCAGTTGTGCTCTTTGAGAAGCTTTCAAGCATTTCAAACAGGCACCTCAAAACTAGGCACAAATGGCCCCTAAAGCTTCCAGCACTCCAGAAATTCCACATGGGGCACGTTCTGCAGGATACAAAGAGCACACCTATGTTTGCTCTCCTCAGGAAGTCTCAAATCTAGATATATTCAGACCTTCCCATCTTCCCCCACCACAACAGAAGAAAGCAGCTTATCTAACAGAACTTCCAACACCCCCAAGTACTTCACAGGTACAGACAAAACCCAGCCAACACCCCCCTGTAAGATGGGAGTTACCATCACCACTCCTGGTGGCTGGGCCAGAATTCTCCTGGAAGGTTTTATTTTTCTCTGTCTCAGAATGCCCCAGTTCTGCCATCACTGGGGCCCTGTAAGTGGAAATTCAATAATGACAAATCAGATTGGATTTTTGGTCACTTGGATTTTCTACCTCTTCACAGTCTGACGTCACTAATTTACTTAATATTTAAAATGTGTGTCATCCTGCAACAAAACTACAACTGCTCAGTGTCTACAACTTTGGAAAATACTTTTATCTCTGAATGCATTAGTCCCCAGTCTACCAGCAGTTAGCAAAGGTTCTGAGGCAGAAACCCCCAAGATAATTCTGGCCCTGCAATTTATTTCCTCTTCATCACAGCATTTAGGAACAGCTCAAGTCCTAACACCAGACAGAGAGGGCGAGGGGAGTGCTGGCCATAGGAATTCATCCATAACTGTGACATTCCTTGGTCAGAATTCCCTTATCTGGGCACACTGCAAGGCTTAATAGTTTCCCCAAGCTACCCCTACAGTTAGGCAAAGAGAATTTTGCATTTCTGTTCTGTAATATTCGTACATGCAGCGAGAGGTTCAGAGAGAAGCAACAACGTTCTAGTTTAAAACAAACAAAAAAATAAAATCAAATAAATAAAAATCCACGTGCCAAGTCTGTTATAATAAAGTGTCAGTTTGTGTCATATGCCAAAAAACCTGGATATTCAGTGGAAAGACTGCTGAGGGAAATAGCTCAGTAGCTGTACTAATGGATGGCAAATTGAAGTAACAAAGGATTGAGCTGCATGATGTTGTCTCAAAGCGGTACCAATGTTTTTGAGATCCTTATTTTTGACAGTTTATGCACATTTTAACTTTTTCCAGCTCAGTGCAGAACACAGTTTGTGGCAACAACTAGAAACGTTCACTTTCCTGTAAGAGGCCACAACCAGCACTTCTTTTTGGGTCACGAGTGATCAAATTAAGTTGATGGGTAAAGTGCAGAATTTTCCACATCCCTTTGTTTGAATTTTCACATAAATTTATCAGTTACTGGCACCATGCAAACACAGACCTCCCAAATCCACACTAATGAACTGAACACTGGCACAAGACATGACTCAACTTTGCATAAAAGAGTCATGGACAAGTGAAATGAATCAAGTTGAATGAATTAAGTGCCCAATTACAAAATTAATTTGTCCTTCACAACAGGGTCTAAAAGGTGTGAAGAAAAGAAAACTCCCACTGACACTTTATGTACAACTTGGTCATTGGCAACGGTCCCCTAAACCACTTCTTTTTTTAACTGAACCCAGCAAAACTATACAGAATGTGAAAGAATATTTGCAACAGATCTCAAAAGGACAGTGTAGAGAAGTTCATCATGGTGTACCTGATGTTTAAATTAATTTAACAGATACAGCCTGTAAAACAAACACAGTATGAACCTGTGGATTTTTTTTTTTCTTTTTTCTTTTTAAAAAAAAGGACTTTTACAGAATTCAAGTAGTGTAGCAGGAAACCATAGATGCCTTTTTGATCACAGGTCAGGCGAAACAGAGCCCCTTGTTGAGTTTCCCCCTTGCTTCTGTGTGCTCAGGTGTGCCAGTGGATCTATAAGTCTGTGGATGTGAGCTTTTTCATGCTCCGTCGCTGAGCTAAACTGGAGGCTGCAACAGGCTCTAACACTGGCTGAAATGTCTTGTGGTTCAGTGCAGAATATGTAGCAGCCATGGCTCCCTGGGGAAAAAAAGAAATATAAAATAATAATATATATATATATATAAAAATATTTTTATCAGACAATAAAGCAAATTAAAATTAAGTTCTTGATTAGCTCGATGAAAACCAAATTACTTATGGCAGGTCATGGGCACCTCTAAAGTCTGCTTGGAAAAATACATTTATTGTTGAATCCTTCTGATTTCTAAGCACGGCTGACGTGTGACATTTCTTTTTCTTTCCTGTGTATTGTGTACATTATATATAGGAGTCACCTTTTAATGTAGGGTAGAATTAGCACCTTCCAAGCGAGATCAGCACCAATTTATCAAACACAGCAGGTTCAGTGGCTGTTCAGATCCTGACACTCGTGACACAACTCAGTATTAAATACCTTAATCTTTGTAAAGAAAGCATCCAGAAAAATCTCTTCCTTTGAACATAAGCTAAAAAAATGATTTATTAATAATTTAGAGATGGACTTTATACAAGAGTGTGTAGTGACAGAACAAGGGGGAATGGCTTCCCACTGCCAAAGGGCAGGTTTGGATGGGACACTGGGAAGGAATTCTTGGCTGTGAGGGTGGGCAGGCCCTGGCACAGGTTGCCCAGAGAAGCTGGGGCTGCCCCTGGATCCATGGAAGTGTCCAAGGCCAGGTTGGACAAGGCTTGGAGCAACCTGGGCTAGTGGAAGGTGTCCCTACCATGGCAGGGGGTGGGACTGGATGAACTTTAAAGTCCCTTCAACCCAAAGTATTCCATGAATTTCTCATGTAGTTACATATGCAGGTTCTAAGGGAAAGAAAAGGAAGTTAATTCCTCTTCTAAAGAACAAACAAAAAGAACTAACAAAAGTTGTGTCTGTAGCTGTGAACCAACCCAACCCACTGCACAGCCACCACCCTGAGCACAGTGCAGGCTGTTTTACCTTTACTAGATGTGGGGCATCTTGCCTGTTGAGCTGATAATGTGGCAGCTGGTCCCTGCAGGCAATCCAGGAATGCTTCAGCACCTGCTCTGCCGTGTACCTCTGGTGGGGATCCACGTGCAGCATGTGGGAGAGCAAGTCCTGCAGGGAAACCAAACACACTGTTCACCTGAAATCATCTTTAAAGCAGTCCTGATGGCAGCAGTGAGCAGAGTACCCACTGTGGCAGAGGGATCAACACAATGCACACACACACTGATCAGCAGACAGATTGGATCTTTCTGTGCCTTGACACTGCAGAAGGCTCAAAACAATGTGTTGTACTATTGCAGCAGTTCAACAGAGCAAGCCTTTATTGCAAAGAACTTGCTGTTGTGCCTTTCATGTCTGTTATTAATAGAATCTTTAAAAGACTAGAAATCCTATTAAAATTTAGCAGTCAGAATTTATGGAGGAAAGCTATTATTTGCAAACATCTCTCCATGTTCATTCTGCATGTTTGGGGTCTGACTACATCTTACAATTGAATTAATTGATAGTGACACACCAGCAGCGAACTTTTCTTTCAAGGAGTCACATAAAGAATTAATCCAACAGCAATGGCCACTTGATTTTGCCTGTTAGAAGCATCAGCAATAAGCTACTAATTACAGTGTTGGTCAAAAGCAGAGCTGGGTGGGAAGGGCACAGAACAGAGACAGGAATAGTTTGAATTAAAAACAAAATATGGACAAGCAGACAGAATGTTCCCTTTGTTTGAGGTACAAACTGTTAAGCATTCTTAAATACACAGAAGTGAGTTACTTGTGCTAAGACAGCAGCATTCTGAATCACTCCTACTGAACTGAACAAACAGTGCAGTTCCAAAGGATCAGGAAAAGATATTTTAATATTAGTAATTATTATTAATAGTTATTAAATATTAATAATATTAATGCCAATCTTTAGAAAAGGTAACACTGGTGATTAAGATACCAGGTCAACACCAACCCCAGGGAGCTCATGGAGCAATTGAGAAGAGATGGAGTGTTTTTAAATAAAAAGGGACAGCTGCATAATCAAGCTGATGATTTTTGGCAAGATACGCAGATCTAATTGGTTGTTAAAGCACTAACAAAGACAAGACATTTGATGACTTCAGCACTGAACAACAAAGAAATGGCACTATAAAAAATTCAACTTAATGGCAGACTGGGCAGCTACTACAACTGACAGATAACTGTAAAAAACATCCCTGCAGGGAAGGAACCCCACAAACACCTGATTTTGATTCTGTTATAGCAGCCAAGCACTGGAAGAGACTGCCCAGGCCAACTGTTCAGTGCCCAACCCTTGGAGGCTTCTAAAGCCCCCTGAATAAAGCCCCGAGCCTGGTGAGGTCTCACAGCTGGCCCTGCCTGGGGCAGGAGGCTGCACCACGTCCTTCCCTGCAATACAATTTACAGGTAATGATAACAACCTGCCCTGACAGATCAGTCCAGTTTATAAAGTTCAGCAACATTCCTTTGAATTCTACAAAAATATCAAAACAGAACACATTTCCACCTTTGCTGCATCTGAAACAGTGTCCCAGTTGCCTCCACTTAGGGAGAATTTTCCACTGCCTATCCGTACCAGGATCTCCTCAGGAGTATCATTGGGACCATTGGCAAAGGGAGTGTAGCTGTTGAGAGACAAAAAAACAAAGCACCTTGTTAGGGGTAAAAAACTGCAAGGAACTGGGAAAAATCTCGTTAATCAGTCAATATTCCACTGCCAACAGAAACATATCATAGAATACACAGATACTATTAAATACTATGAATACTTCTCACAGTACAACAGAAGCACCAATTTATGAAGAGAATAATTTCCAATTATTTAGCCCTTAGACAAAAAAGCCTGCTAGTCTTCTGTTAGAGCAAAATTCAGAAAACCTTTTCTCCTTTGGCCACTAGATGCTTCCTAGAGCTGCATCAGTCTGGCTGAGTTAGAGAACTCCAGAGATTATAAACCAGTGTGTTCTCCAACAGGGCCAGGAGATACCAGAAGGTGACTCCAAGAGTGCAGGGTGAGGAGGACAAGAGGCTGGAGGGTAAAAAGAAAACCCTCAGGTACCTCCAGAGGCTAAATTCTCTCCAGGGAACTGGGGAAAGTCCTTGGCATCCCCTAGTCATGTCCTATGGAAAAGAGAAGCCTTAAACCTCCTCGTAAGATAAGGCTGGTTATTGTGTTTACTTATTTACTTACTGTTCCACCTGAGTGTGTCATTCCATGAGGTAATCCCTTACCATTTAAAGGGAAGCAGGGATTCAGGCAGCATGCTGGAATTTTAGGTAAACAAAACAGCTCAGAAATCTTTCTCACCCTGCCAACATGGTGTAAAGAAGAACACCCAAGCTCCATATGTCACAAGCAGCATCATAGCCCTGTCTCATGAGCACCTGTGAAACAAAGAGTGTTAAAAGACTTTTCATGGGTCACAAACCACCCCAAACCAACACCACTACCCAGCCCAAAGAAAGGGTAAGGCAATCCCTGCATCATGTCACAGGTTTGACTACTGATTTTTCAATATACAGGTTGTAGTAAATACCAACAATATTTCCTGTTCCCAGAACATCATCCCTTAAGATTTTCAACAGGTTTACATTTAATTTTTGAGGGTGGACTCTGCTATTTTAAAGCAGTTTTAAAATAAACACATGCATCGGTATTTGTAAAGTATGTGTGATTATATTTAAGGAAAACTAGCAGAATTTTTCCTTTTTTTTTTTTTTTTTTCAAGCATTGCTAAAAAGTTTAAGTATCTGATGCATCAAAAACAGCATAAAGAAAACACAGAGCAGCTTAAAATACCTCTGGTGCCACAAAGTTTGCCGTGTAGCACGGGGTTAGAAGGAGTCCATTTTCTCCTCGGAGCTGTTTTGCAAATCCAAAATCACAAATCCTGATGGAATCAGCATTATTGGAGTCATCTGTATATAAAATATTACTGGGTTTGAGGTCTCGATGCACCACCTTTAAACCAAGAAATTTGAAAAGGCACCATTTAGAAAGAGCACCAAACAAAGTGGATTTGTTTGTACGTAATTTGCAATTTATAAAAAGTGTTCTCTAGATAAATATACTTATTAAGTAACAGAAAATTCTAGTTCAAGTAAGGTAATTAAAAGCCCACTGGCTCATAATGCAACTGGAACTGACATCACCATTTGCCAACAAGCACAAGAGAACAAACATCTGCTGCTTCACAAACTGCAGAGTCCAAAGGGTTTGCCAGAAGAACAGGACGAGTTGTTGATATGATTCACCTTTGGAATAAAATACAAAACCTCTCTCCCTTCTGCCATAAAAACAAGCCAGGCACGTAGCACAAGGGCTCTGTAAGTCAGAGAGATGGGGGAGAGGCTGTGCCTGGCAGGAACCCTCACCCCCTGGCAGTGCAGGTAGTCCACGGTCTTGGCGATGGTGAACAGCACAGCGCTGGCCTCGCGCTCCGAGAAGAACTTCTGCCTCAGGATCCGGTCCAGCAGCTCCCCCCCCTTCATCAGCTCAGTCACCAGGTAGATGAACCTGCCATCATCATACACCTGAGGAGAGGTTTAACAAGTGTAAGCATGTAACTGCATCTATTCCAAACCAGTGTCTCCCATTACACATCCCCATAACCGGAAGCTTCAGACTGGACTGTTCCCCTCCTCCCACAGGAACGTGGAGCACAAACAGCAGGCCCTGGCACAGCACGGAGCGTGAGGCAGCTCATGTGTCAATCAGCAGTTGATTCGTGACTCTGAATTACATTTTTCAGCCTCAGAACTTCTGCTCCAAGAGGAAAGCAGCCCCATCACTCCCTGTTGCTCGTCCCATCCACAGGTAACTTTTAGCCGCTGGCAGTTGGCATAGACAGGACAACATGAACAGCCTTCTCAGATTACCAACACATCAGTAATCATTTCAAATAAGAAAAATGGCATTTCTAACCTCTACATCATTTCTCACTTCCGCTTCATTAAACAGCCTTTAGAAAGAATTAGTATCAGGACAACACTATACTTTAAAATACTCCCTTTACTATTAGGTACTGCTCTCACAATGCATTTTACCATGTAAAAGACATTTAATGAGTCCTGATAAACTCCCTGCATCTCTACTTGTTTTTTGACTACTGTGCAGTGAGAGGTAGCAGGGAGAGAGGTACATACATCCTTCAGAGTGATAATATTTGGATGTTGTCCGTAACGCATGAGAATCTCGATTTCTTCTGAGGGATCCCTCTTGCTTTTATCAATTATCTGCAAAATATAACAGGAAAAACAACTTGGCTAAACAAAGCCTGCTTAATAAAGACATTTTTTTTCTATTTACATCTTTGCTTCAACAACAGAATAAAAAAATCCAGAGTTAATTACTTCTTATTCATCATGATTAATTCATGTTCCAGTTTCATGTCCCACAGTTTATTCATTTCTTGCTCTATCCTTGTTAAGATTCTATCATTAATGCAGCCTATCCTGCTCCAGTGGGCAAGGAAATGCAATGGACTGTCTGAAGCATCACTAATTCCCTCTGCAGCCCAGTTCCACCCTCGTGAACCTCACTTTATTTCTGCTGTTCTCATAATTGTACAGTATTTCCAGGCTTCTGACTTATAAAAACAGCTACACTAATTGGAAAATCCATAAATTTAAATTTACAAATCCGCTGCACAATAACTTCTGAACTGTAACAAGGAAATTTATTCCAATACCTTCACAGCAAACTCCATGTTTGTGGCTATGTGTATACACCTCTTGCAAACAGAGTAAGAACCAACACCAATATCTTCCTTCAGTTCATAGACATCAGTGAACTGGGCACTGTTCCCATGAAGCTGCTTCAAAAAAAAACAAAACAAAAAAAAAAAAAAAAAACGAATTCAAATTGTCATCTAAACCAACAAGATGCTCTTTGCCATGACAGTTTCCCAACAGAAAAAGTTTCTCCTGCCTGCCCATGATTTCTCTTTGGAATTCTGCCTCCAGAGAAACAGCAGCTGACTTTTTAAAATTCAAAAATATCCCAGGGAGGTATTTTAATAAGGCACATTTTATAATGGTTTCTGTCCCCTTCCCCCCCCCCCCAAAAAAAAAAAAAAAAAAAGAACAGGTTGTAAGTACTAAATATTGGTTAGTCTCTGACATGTCAAAAAAGTTTCCCAAAGCCCAAGAAGTGTTACCTGTACTATGGGCAGGATGTTGGTGAGAGGGGATATTTTATGGTCTTCTACAGTAGTAGTTGCAACAAAACTAAAGCCTTTGAAGAGCTGATGGGCATTTGCACTCGGTGGGACTCCTGGAGAATCTGGTGGCAGACACAGGTGATTAGTGTGGATAAATCCCAGCAAAACAAGGCCATTTGTCAACATTTAAGAGAGTTAACCCATAAGAAATGTTCTGAGGGAAGGAAGGGAAGTAACCAAGAATAACACCAGATGTTGAGAAAGACTTCTAGATTTTTATCTGTCTACTTTTATTTCTGTAGCAAACATAAAGCAAGTGTTCCTGGGTCTTATCTGAACTGGGAAACACTGCAGGAATTAGTGTATGAACATATGTTTTTAGGGAGAAATTAGTGAAACACAACTTCCCTTATGAAAAAGAAATAAAGATCGTGGTCTTGTGTTCAACAACTTCGTAACACAGAAGAGCAACCAGATTGTGCTGCTTCAGTGGTGCATGTGCTGCTGGTAAGGCACAAGTGAGGCAGGGCAAGAATATTTAATTAGTGGTATTACTGAATAATTAGAACTCAGTTTTCCCCAGATTATATTACATGCACCTCTAAATTCATTATGAAGTCTCACAGTAAGCACAGTTTGAAAATATTGTGCAGCCTGTTAAGACCACAGACCTCCAAACAAAAACAAGTGGGTTAAAAGTTGGATGCAGAAGGAAAGAAAAAAAAAATCACAAAAGAAAACTTGAAGTGAAACTTGAAGCAGACTAAGAAACACTAATTATAATCATTACTTAAAGCAAGTCCTTCTTAGTGAAATACTGACCCTAAATATAATCACTGCTGCTATCAAACTGAGTTTACTTTTAGTATTGATTCCCCCCAAACAGTGCGTGTCTGACTTTAAATCACAACTAGAAACCAAAAATTAAGATGTTAACATTCCATTTACTTAATTTTTTTTTCTGTATGAATCAAAGTTTAGCAGAATATTTCAAAGACCAGGAACCCTGTGAGAAGAACACACTCCTTCAAAGCACTGGAAACCCTGTTGCATCCTTTCCTTTTAACTCTGTCACTGGTTTTTTTTGCTTGTTGTTTTAACAGGAACTTGACCCTCTTGTCCCACAAACCTCACCAATTTACAGCCACGCACAATTAATTACCTTTTGGTGTTTTTGCTGTGAATTCTGGATCAAAACAAAAGGTGTCTTCTGGCTTTCCAGAAGCAGGTTTAAATGGAGGCTGGATTTCTCTTCTGAACAGTTTCTGAGTAGAAGGGAAAAAAAAAAAATCAGTTAATCAAGAGTCACTGAGCCTTGCACGGGGGCTGTGATTTTGCCCAGGTAAAGGCACAACCTCCTGGGCTGGCACAGCTCCAGTCCAAATTCAAATTGTCCTAATCCCCCAAACTAAAGCAGGGAAAGCAGAACAAGGGCTCTGCTTTTTTTTTTTCCCCTCCTTTATTCAACATGCTTTAGAGAAATGCAGTGCCCGAGTGATCTCAAAGCTGCAATAAGTCCCATTTACAGCTCAGGAAGAGAAAATTTCATGTTAAATGATGTCAAAGCCCCATGCAAAGGTCAGGAAGTTCTGAGAGCATTTTCTTGCTACTTCTCTTCTCCTTTCAGATCTAGTTTTTGAAGGTTGGGGGTTTTTTTCATTTATCTTCTTGCACATGAATATAGAATATATTTCAATTAAAAAAAAAAAGGCAAACCAAACATCAAAAAAATCACCATGGAAGAGGGACCTAAATTCATCCCAAAGAGATAATGAGATAAATAAAATGAAAAACAGAAGTGGTCATCAACACCACCAGAATGAAATAAATACAAATTATTGTCAACTTTTAAAAAAAAATTATGAAGAAAAAAGAGCTAGAACTGCAGATCTTCCAAACTTCATTGCTGGTGTTTATTTCAGTATCAATCCCTTAAGATAAAAATAAGTAGATGATCAAGCCAAAACAAGACAACAACTTATCAAGTGTATTCACATAAAACAGTGAAGTTTTGCTGTTACTGAGAATTCTTGTTGATGGATTCTGCAAAAACACAGCTAGAAAACCACCTTTTCAGAAATAAATCCAAGAGAAAAAGAAAAGGAGAAGAAAAAGAAAATAGGTGAGCACAGCATTGGCCTGGTAGTCCTGTCAGCAGAGCAACGTCTTGTTTATTCCATCTACCCCTCTGCAGGAATTACAGCAAAGGGGGGTTTTCAGAGGGGATTTATTCGATATGGAGCATCCTGCTTTTGAGAGTTTCTGGGAAACACATCTCAAAAGATGGGAGAACCACAGAGAAAAATCATAAGGTGCTTGTTAAAAATGTGAGCAACAGTTGTGATCTCGTACAGACTTGGGATCATCTCAGAGCACCTGAGTCAATATTCCAACTGGGAATGGGATCTGAGTGATAAATCAGGGACGTGCTGTGGCAACTGGAGAGAAATCCAAGGGAATTACACTCACAGGGAGTTGTGCCCTGCATGGAAGCAGCAGACAGACACTGGAGAGGAAGATTCCTGCACAGAGGGAACATCAGCATCCTCTCCCAGCTACAAATGCTCTAACAGACAACTCCAGCTTTAGAAAACTGCAACTCTTCATTATTTAAAAATTAAATGCCCAATTCATAATTAATACTCTCTGTACCGTAAATACAGCAGCTCCAGATGCCAGGGAAGATGAGAGCAGCAGCCAGGATGTGACAGTCAGCACTGCTGCACTTTGTTGGGCCCTATTCACATGCAAATACTTACAATGCTACAACACACAGAAAAATTAACAACAGCTTTAGCATTCAGATCACTTTGTACTTACATTCCAGTCAACAGTAGAAAAAAAAGGATGTCTCTTGATTTCTTCAACTCCATCTGAACCAGCTCCTGAACAGAGAAAATACTGTATTTAACACACTTTAGGGTAAATCTTGGAAGACTGCATTAAAAATTAGTTCACTTGTAAAAAATCCACACAGACACAGGGGTTATCTGAATGAACTGTAAATACACAAATATTCCAAGGATGTGATCAAGTAGTGGACACCTCATCAGGGAGGCAAAACACAAGAACCCCACGAATACAGAGCAAATATTGTTTGCTCTGACACTGTCAAAGCTCATGAAGAGTCACCAATTCAAGCTCTGATCACTCTTTACCAAACCCAGAGGTCACGATCCAAGCTAAGAAATGGGATCTAAACCCAAATATTCCTGATCACCCAGAGCCTGGGAGTCTCTGGCAACTGCTTCCTTTGAAATTACAGTAGTTGGGTTGAGTTATTTAAAGATCCAAATAAATGAACCAACCTAATCTATTTGACGGGTTCCTTTTAAACAACATCCTCAGAAGACTCTGTGCTTCAGGGCTGAGGAACTGAGGCATCCCCAGTTTTGCTCTGAAAACAACCAGAGAACAAGTAAGAGAAAGAAATATATTTTACTAAAACCTGTCAACACAGACTTTTACTGAACAGTTTGATCTATTTTTAAGTCTTGGAGAGTGCATGTATTTAACTCACCAACTTTTAAGTTTCACATTACATGGGTGGTTTAAGAGAAACAATAAAGAAAGAACACACCAGACCCAAACCATGAAGCCCCCACAAGTTTTATGCTAAAACAGAGTAAAACAAGTATATTTTCAAAGATACCTTCATATCACCAGGATCAACACCAGAACAGTCACCAAATCCCAATTGCTTGCCCTGAAGTGATTGCTGCTCTTCCTCTTGAAGCAAGGGCCTCAAGTAGCTCGTTGAGCCATCACATGAAAGCTCCCTGACTTTAGCACTTATTTTATTTCATGCAAACTATTATGCTGAGGCAAGAGATTCCTCTGCAGAACTGCAGCACCACTTGGGAGCTGCAAGTGGGGCAGCTCATGCTCTAATCCATCCCTTCATGGGCAACCTGTAAACCCACACTCAGGGCAAGCTCCGACTGAGGGAATGAAGCTTCTCCCTCCTGCCCATCCCCATCCCCCCCTCAAGGGCCCAGGGCTCTCATGTGCTCTGGAGGAAACTCTTTGTGAGTTGAGCACAAACACAGACAAGAACATATTTGCCCAACAGCTTCACTCACTGAGCACCAGTTCACCCAGTCTGTCTGGCTCAACAGCCTCTGTGGTAACTGAGGCAATTTGAGATGAGAACTGAGAGCCTGTAAGTGCCTCCCATCCATCCACACACAAAGCAACACCTCAGCACCTGCTGCTTACAAAACAAGGTGTGCTGTAACAGTGGCAAGGGAGTACAACAACACAGGTGCAAACAATGCTGCTCTAATTCCCTCTACCCTTCTTATCTTTATTACACACCTACAATGGAAACAAATTCATCCCTAAGATTTTAATTCCTGTAGATACTTAATGATATTTATGATCTGGGATCTAAACCTTATCAGGGGGCTTTGATTTTTTTTGTTCCTGTTTTTAACTGAATGCTCTCAGAATCATAAAATGGCTTGGGCTGGGAGAGACTTTAAAGAGCATCTTGTGCCAACCCTGCCATAGGCAGGGACACCTTCCACTGGACCAAGTTGCACAGTGAGTTCTAACAAGCTGTTAAAACATGTCCAAAATTACATTTTCTGACTTCCCCAAGGAGTAAGAACAGGTACTTACTTCAGTATCATATTCATGGTTTCGTTTCGATCTTTACCTTGGAACGGCAGGGTGCCCGTGAGCATCTCAAACTGGAAAGAACAAATGTTCACCTCAATCAACACTTCTTCCCCCCAGCTGCTGAAACAAAGTGTTAAGCACTCTACTCTTCCCTACATCATCTCTAAACATTATCAAAATGCCACAAATCTGCAGTCTTCACTGGCAGTTACAGGATGGTAACAGTGGCAAGGTGACAAAGTGACGATGGAGGAATATTTTACACCCGTAAAGCCACTCGAAGGCAATAAAATCTCCTCCATAACCAAGTTTCAGATGTTGCCATGTTTTAAAAACTGCAAGAACAATAAATACTGGAACAGTACTTTACTTTTAATGCCAATCTACACGTGTCAGCCTGATGCTCTGAGGCATCCCAGCAAGGGCAGAAGTGGGAGCAGTTCCTTATCCCACAGCTCCACTCCAGCATTCCTTCCACAGGCTCACTCTTCAAAATGGCATTATACTCCTTCAAACCAAGCTTTCAAGTATGTGTTTTTTTTTTTTCTCCGTAACTATCAAGTAACATGCAAAATAAATACACAAACTGGCTCATTTCACACCCATACAACCATATGGAAGGCACATATATGAGCTTTATGGTGCCTTGTAAGGATTCCATACAGGGAAAGTCAATTTTATTCGACTGAGTTGCCATTGCAGTGGCACTTCAATTATTGAATTCACCCCCTTACCCCAAGCATTGATAATTAAAACTGGACAAGCTTAATTTAAGTGCATTAAGCCACATTCTCTTAGAGCAATGCAGTGTTTGTGACCTTAGGAAGGGAAGCAAAAGCACAGTACCATGAGGACCCCAAAGGACCACCAGTCAGCACTCTGGTTGTGCCCTCTCCTGTTTACCACTTCAGGTGCCATGTACTCTACAGTACCACAGAAAGAATAGGCCTTCTTCTCTTGATCTACTGATTCTTTGCTGAGTCCAAAGTCTACAACAACAGCATCACAAGAACACAGCCAGTAAAGAATTTCAGGGAAAAAAACAATATATATCTAGAGATACCACAGACATTGGTTCACTGCATACACCAAAACTGTTCTCTAAGTCATTAAATGGACAAGCAGACATCGATATTATTACTGAAATAACTTCATATTTGAAATATTACACATTTAGAGCCTTAAGATAACCAAAAGTTCCCTTTTTCTGTGTCTACTGCCTCCTTTATTCACACAACAAAACTGGACAGAAATAAAAAAGGAGTTTCAGAGGGAACACAGCCTGCATGGTCTGGTATTACTGAATGATGAATAAGTAAAATCTGACTAAAAATATTGTTGTTACATAAGCCACCATGGTTCTGCAACCTGACTCGAGTTCAGCAAAGAACAGTGTTGCATCTCTGCTCCTCAATTCCCAGAATCCTTTTTTTCCTGCCAGTGAATACACAAGCCCTTGATACTGGCTCAGCTCTCAGATTGCGACTTTTAAATATCCCTTTTTTCACAGGGGAAATATTGCCAATCGATAATCCATCATCATTCCCAGTTGCAGAAGGAAGAGAGAACTTTAAGACTGAATTAAATTTAAACAGACCCGTGCAGAATTTCATAAACATCACCATTATTCCATCAAATCTGGGAGAGTTTAAAACACTTCCTCTTCCCTTGCAATCTAACAGCAATATTTATAGACCCAAATATTCGATGAAATCTGCAGTACAAAAGCATCACCTTAAAAGTAATTTAAAGCTTTCAGAAATTCACAGCAATTTGGTTTCCAAATGGTCTTTTGTAGACATCACTTCCTAGAAAAGATCTATTTTAATTTTCCTCACAGAACTCTTTTCCTGCATTTTTTAAATATTTGAAAGTGATAATCCAAAAACACACACAAAAAGCTTATGCAGAAAGATATTCAGAAAGTTCTAATGAGTGTTGCCTACCTGTTAACTTGATATGTCCTGCTTCATCAAGCAAAATGCTGAAAATTAAAATTCACATTCACCAAAACACATAAAGGGCAATGTGTACACATAATATTTTAAATACAAGTTAAAAAGAATTATATCCAACCACTGTTATTACTTTAATAAGTGAACATTATTCAATTTAAATCATATCTATATATTTTATGGTTTATATTTGTTTACATAGTCTAACAAAAACGTATTTAATTTTTTTTTTTTTACATCACTACAGTGGAAAATTTAAAGCAACAAGCAAAGTACACATAATAGTGGTAAAATACATTTTACTTTACTTTTCTGGCTTCAGGTCCCTGTACACAATTCCCAAGCTGTGAAGGTGATCCAAAGCAAGGGCCAGTTCTGCGAGGTAGAATTTCACATCTTCCTCTGTAAACATAACCTAATAAGAACTGTATAGATTTACCTTCTGATCTTGTCTTCAGTTTTTAAAACTGCAATCTAAAAAAATATAGTCCTGTCTGCCTAAATTTCAAAATCAGTCTCCCAATTCGTGAATTCACCCAAGAGAAATTATTTACTAACACAGGTTAATTATAAAGTACACAAAAGAACTACCTGTGATATTTAAATAATAACATCAGCAGTTACTGCAGAGCTTTAGTTAACTTTTAGGTAATAAATTTAATTGTTGTATTTGGTGTAATTAACCACCAGCACTCCTTCTGGCACAATCCTAAAAAGAGTTTTCCACTGCATCATAAAATTTAATATACAGCTGCTGTATTGGGTGACTGTGAATTCACATTAACAATGTTTAGGAAATATTTAGGAAAGGAAAAGTAGAAATAATTGAGAAAAAAGCACGCAAAGCACAACACTGGTAAAAATAACAAGGACAATCCGCAGTGGGAGTTGAAGAACATGCTCTGTTCTTAGGGAAAAAAAAAAAAAACACCAAAATTTAAGAACCCTGGTGAGCCACTGAAAAACTGACGTTGCTTCTAGAGCACGAGAGAGATGCCCTTCATAACACTCCACAGGTTGCTTCTAATTTAATACACAGAAATTGCAGCTGCTTTGGCTCTTGTCATGTACTACAAATTACTGGAGAACCTTGAAATCTTTAAATTACTGGATTGAATGCGAGGTTTAAGTGAAATATTCCCTTATTTGTTGAAAGCAGCAGGAGTAACAAGTGCAGCCACTCTGCTGCACAGGAGCTGCCTAACAAGGCTTAAATTAAAGTCCCTGGGCTCCCTGATTTAGAGCTGCCCTGATCTGTACTTTAAATTTTACATATGTAATCTGGTCCAGGGGCACGGAAATATTCCCTCATTTCCATAATGACAGGGGTTAACCTGGCAGGAACAATACAGCTGTCACACCACACAGTGGCACCTGATTTCTTTGAAGAGCACTGTGGATGCTGGTTCTCATCTGCATCAAAAAAGCAAGAGTCATGTCCTCACTCCCTGGATGGCATTGCTCCTTGGAGCAGCCAAAATGCAAATCTCAGAATACACAATGATGCTAAATGGCAATCTCCAATCTCCCCATAATAATGACATTTAAAGCTGTTCTCTGTGTCAAACATGACGCAAGTTAACTTCATTAAATGTTACCAATAAAAACTTCATTACATACTCATCCACAGGTGAAACTCTTGTATCCACATTGGAATTTAAAGAGCAAAAAAAGTCTTTTAATGACTTCACAGTAAAGCAGACTAATTTAAAATAATCCTTGTGAAATGCCCTGGGCAATTTCCCCTCATGTGCACTGCCCACTGGCTTTTCCATGGACTTTGGAAGTCACCTTTTCTTGCCACCAGAACATAAAAACCTGACTTTTTGTGTATCTAGACACACAGTAAACACGTCAAAGTCCTCACAGAAGGTAACTGAAGTCTTCCAAAAAACACCAAGAGCCTCAGCAGTGAGAACAGTTGACAACCAGGCAAAGGGAACCTCTTTCAACCCTCAACACGTGTTATGATGAACAGGTTTGCATCCCTCAGTTAACTCCTAATCTCAGTTGCATTCTGGATAATCCCAGCTGTGTTGGTGCAAGAGAATTCTGCTCTCTGCTGTACTAGAATTTCCTCTATAATTAGTTATTAGAGCTTGACCTCCTTCCTACCTACTGCTCCAATAACCTTTGACAGGTTGGTCACTTGAAGCTTTTAACAGTCATTTTAGCCTCGGGATGAATTAATTTTGAGCTCAACTCTTAAACATTATCACTGTTTACCAAGCTCAGCTTTTCATAAAAATTAAAAGCAAAAATCCCTTTAAATTCTTCCTTCTCTTTTGCCTGTTCCTAAACTAAAATCTTTATTTTTATAGAAAGTATATAGGGAAAAAACCCACAACTATCTGATGGCCTCACATTCTGGGGATAAACAACCTCTTCTACGCCACGAAAAAAAATCAGTCAGATAACATTGTTTTCTCATCTAAGAAAGTGGCTTTTCCTGTGCTTTAGCAATGTAAGTGGATTTACACTGAAAAGCTCAGTGGAAACACTGAAAAGCTCTCTTACTGGGAAGCTGTTGAGCCATTAAAAATTTAGATCTCCATAAAAGGTTTGCAAAAAGAAAATAAAAGTCCTCTAAACATGTTCATAACACTCAAGGTAACATGTGATAAATATTTGATGGCAAATGTTTAAAAAAAATAACAACGGGCTGCATCCTATTCCCTCCTCTGAGGATTCTCTGCAGAAAACAGAAAGAGAAATGAAGAATTCAAGGTCCGGTTGTGTGTGAGGGTTTGGGGGTTCAACCCCACTCCACGTTCCCATTTGGTGGGATTAAGGATTAGGATTTGTATTCCAGCCCCCTGAAATTTTACAATGCAGCAGAAATCTCCCAGGGCTGTAGGATTCCAGGAGCACCTCAGCTGACTAAGAGCAGGAGAACTATAATATCCCCTTTCTTCAGTGCTAAATATTCATTTACTTCAGTTACGTTTCCAAGCAACAAAACATTTTTAGACAAAAGAACTGTACTTTGCAGATACCAAATTAAAACTTAGGCTACTAATCAATACACACTCAGGTTTCTTAAGGACAGAATATATTCTAGAACATGTAAGGAAAGCCCAAGTAAGTTATAAAAACTTGAGCATGACAAGAAATATGGGGGGGAATCAGCTTTAAAAGGCAATCCCATACAGAGAAAAAACAACCTCTGTCTAAGAGTGAGCGGAGATAAAATTTTAGGTACTTACCTCTTTGGATAATCGTGTGAATACATCTCCTCCCCTGAGAAAATCCAATATTAAATAGAGCTTCCCTTCAGTCTGAAAGGCTTAAGAAAAAAAAAAAAAAAAAAGGAGAATAAAAAAATCAACAGTTGTGTGACAAAGCTGATCCACAAAATAGATCTGAATGATTTACAACCAGGAAATTTCAGTCAAAGGCAATACTTTTGTTATGGAACTGAAATAATTCAGCAGCACATGAGGTAATTTATTGAATGATTCCTCACTTCTTCACAGCAGAAAATCTTAGTCATGAGAGATGATTAAAATACTGTTCCTTCACTTCTCCTGTGTCAAACAGGGAAACAGCAAAGATGTTCATTACTCTGGTTTGATTTTACTCAATGAAAAGCCAAAAAAAAAAAAAAAATCTCTGCTGAACTTGAAAGAATTTTCCAAATCTTTAATTTCAGGAGAACTTCAGCTAAAACTTTTATACAGGTGTGTATTTCCATGCCTTTTCTTTTAAGTCCTGTGATTTAAAGTTACTGGAACCTAACTTGGACCTTACAAACATGACAAAGAACAAGAGCAGCCCTGCCTTCAAGTAATGAAAGGAAGTGCAGCAAAAGGAAAATAAATAAATAAATATACCCACCATAGTGCAGTTTGACGATAAAGGGGTGATTTACTTCTACTAAAATATCCCTCTCCATTTTTGTACGAACTCGATCCCGAACTGGGGGCAAGAAGAAAAGAAGAGACCAGAATGAAACAAATGGGTTGGGTACAGGACAGACAGAGCAGAAATGGCCACGTGGAAAGGCTCCAAAGGAAGATCTTTCCTTGTACTTTATTTCTTTTTCATGTTTAAGGTTCCCTCAAAACACTCACAACTCAATTTTGTTCCTTCCTTATTGCCATCATTTTCCCAGTGTTTGGTGATAATCCACATTACTTCCAGGAAAAAAAGCTCCCATCTAGATTTCAACATCAACTTCTGAATTAACTATCTGTACTGAATATATATTTTCTTACTTTTCTTACAGTTTTTCCTCTTCAACTCTAACAGTCCCTATTTACATGCAGTGGACCTGCACCCCTTAAAGTGTCTCCTGAAAGCCAAAACACTCCTGGCTCTGGCTCCCAGAACAAGAGGGAATGACTTAATTTTAACCACAGCAAAGTTTTAACATAACAATAGACAAAAGGAAAATTGTTTATGAAATTAATTTGTTTTCATATAATGAAAAAAAAAAAAAAAACCAAACCCAAACCTAACCAGAATTAAATAATGCAATTTAATACTTTGAAAGAGTATTTTTGACCACATAATTAAAGCTACCTGGCCAGGTTTAAAATAATTCTCAAACATGAACTCACAAGTCAGCCTGGAAAAAAAGCTGCTGTTATGAACTCACTGACAAACATTTCAGATTAAAAAAACCTTTTAAAATGCAGGTGCACCACGTTTTCAAGTTTCACTTCAGACACACACATACCTTTTAAAGAAGCTTTTTTCAATACTTTCATTGCATAAAGCTGCCCAGCATCTGGACCAATTATCTTCCTCACAAGGAAGACCTGGCAAGATAAAGCCCATTTTTTACAATTACTGCAAGCTGAGTAATCAAATATCAACTCTCACAAAGCATTTTCAAAGCCCCTATTAATTTCAGGCAGTTTTCAGTGTTCTTTCCTGAGCACACACCTTCAAGGAAGAGCAGAACTGCATTTCCTTGATCAGATTAGAGCTGCAGCAGCACCAAGCTCTCTGAATTACCACAGGGGTCAGAAACTACGGATTCTTTCCTTATTTATCAAATAATTATTTACAGAAATTTGTTTCTTTCTGTCACTTTCCTGGACAAGGACAATTCTGGCTCCTCTGCCACGTCCCAAGAGATTTTTCTGTGGTTTAAGACCCGAAGTCTCCAACATGGAACGGGTTTTATTAATGAATTCTGTACAAGTGGTGAGATGAAAGCAAGGAAACCTCACCATTTAAGATCAAAGCACCCTTTCCCTCTAGAATAGCAACTCCAACAGGTTTTTCCACTCTTTTCTTTCCAGGAGAGTTTTAAAGATAGATGGAACACAACTTGACACTAAGAAAAGCCTAATATGAGATAAAATAACACATTCCAAAGACAGGAATCTTTACTAATATTTAAACTCCTGGGTTTTTCAATTTACAAAATGGCTTGGTGGGTGCTTCTGTTCCTAAACTGCTGTTCTTATAAGAGCAATTACTAGTTATAAGGAATGTTTCTGCTGTAAAAAAACAATGTACAAGTCACAAGAGAGAGCCAAGAGCTCCCCAAACTGCCTCTCTGATCTCACCTTATTCAGACTTGCATTAACATTGGATTTATTTACGCATATCCTTTGTTAGAAATTATTAACTATCTAGAAATTGTATGTATTTTTCACATAATCTTGTCAAATTTTCCATTCAAGAATCAGAAAATCAAACACTGTCACTGACTAAACTGGACAAGGTTGGGAGATGGTTGTTTTTATTTTAAGCTCTAGTTAGAAAAAAAAAAAATCACCATATTTCAAGGTTATCAGGCCTTTTGTTTTATGTTTTGCCCAGTGACTGACCTACAGCACCGCTCTCCTCTGAGCTCATGGTGATGCTCAAATAGAGGGAATAATTTGAACACCAGAAACTAAGGAAACATCTGTAGATGAACACAATCACGATTATAAAAATAAATATTAATAATAAGCACATACAAATATTTTAGTGCTTAATAACTAGCAGCTTGTGAGGATGTAAGGACTTCATGTACAGGTTCCAGATTTTAGCTGATAAGGCCCAAAACAGCTGAAGCACCACCTCTTTATTTAATCTGCAGTCTCCACAACCCCACAATTGCCTTGGAAAGTTACCAAAGATAGAAACTTAGTGATGGATAAATTTAACCCTTTGTTTCTGTGGAAGTGTTAAATCCTGCCCTGATGTCAAAAACAGGCTCCAGCAAACCAGCTTTGTGTTTGCCAGCCCCAAAGGAAGGTCCCTGGGAAGTAGAAAGTGGAAAGAGAAAACAAAACACGGTGAAGGCAACAGCCATTGATCTTCCCTGTTTGTTTTCTCTTTCCAGCAGAAAGCAACAGAGATAAAAAAGATCTCTGTTCAGTCACCACCCAGCTCCTAAAGCTGGTTCCTGAACCTGCCAGGTTTCAAAAGCCTGAACTCTGGGAAGGAAAATCTGGCTGAGTCTGAGCTCAGATGGGCTAAACCCTAAGACAGCTCAGGACACCTCAGCTCAGGAGTCATAAAGATCTGGGGCCCTTCAGGCTCTGACAGTGAGAGGTGTAGGAGGGAACTGGCAACCAACATTACCAGACAAAGAAATGTTTCTGGAGCTGTAAAACATTAAGAAATATTTAGAAGTCTTTTCTCTACACTATCACTTATTCACAGAATGCCTTCCTAATGTCTGGTTTTTTCCTCTCTCATTCAATCCTATGCAAAGGTTTGTTCCTGCTTAAACACACAGAACCAGGAGAAGAAGAGGAAAATGGAAACATGTGTAAAGCTGACTGACTACTCTGTATGTGCTGCAAAAGATCTAGTTTGAGTCAGGTTTTAAAAAATAAATTACCTTTTTATAGACTTGGATTACTATTTCAACTCCTATTGTTTCAGTAGTTGACTGAGATATCAGATTTCATTTCTGCACATCACAAAAAGAAATTGTTGTAACAAAGCTGCCATATTTCCTCTCCATGCTATTTCAATAATTGTTCACTCAGTGTCTTTGAGCTGCAGGTCACTTGACAGACAGCAAAATGAAAAACCTAAAATATGTTTCCCAGGTTATTTTATCATCTTACCTTTCCAAATGATCCCTGCCCAAGAACTTTAAGGAGTTCAAACTGTGCTGGGTCTGCTTTCTCACATCCTTCTTTCACGTGGTGTGTGATAGGAATTTCTTTCACGCTTCCTTCATCCTGTTGTTTCAAAGCAAACAAAATACAACAGTGAACAGGCCCGAATTAACCAACTCTTGCTAGAACAACATGTAAATACTCGGGGTTTTTTTCTTGGTTTGGTTTTACCCTAATAAAAAGATTTGAAATTCTAACAAGGCATAAAAGAAAACTGTTCAAGTGAAGAGTTTTCCCATCCATCCTTTCTTAAATAGATGCATCTAAAATTTCTAAACTGAATTTCCTTTTGCCAGAAATATTTTGGCTACAGCAAAAATGCCTTTTTTTTTTTTTTTTAACATGAAAGGGATAAGTGTACAGATTTTTCAACCAAGACTTCTGTGCTTCACTTCTCTTTAGCAGCCCTTACTTTTCCCAGTGATTGCTCTTCTCATCTTTCCCTTTCCTGAAATAAGTCTTAATGAAAGCCAAATTGAATTTCATCATTTAGGGTAATTATTGCTTTTCACAGCAGCAAATAATAACTCTGGCCATCCATTTGGAGCTTGAGGAACACACGTCGTTTGAAGACCAGAAATAAGATGTGAGTCATCTTCAGGACTCTGAGAATTCTTGTACCCAAGAGGAGAAACAGCTCTGGGTGCAGAGCTCCTGGGAAGATTATCCTGTGTGGAGACCTTCTTCAGGAGGGTAATTCTGAGGTAGTTGAGTGATTTAATGGTCTGTTGACTTTTCCATGTCCCTCTCATCTTGAGCAAACCAGCTCCAGTTGTGAAAAGACAAACATTCCTGATGAAAACAAATCTGATGATGTATTGCAGCTTTTATGGTGTAAGAGAAGCTGCTGGGAGCCAAAACCAGTGAGATGGCGAAATAAACACCCTTGGAATTAAAAAGTTACGTGCTAAGACCTCCAACAGCCACCCCAGCTTGCACAGAGAAGGGACAGCACCTCTCAGCCCTGTATAGAATATCAACAAATTTCTTGTAGACAACCCAATCACAAGAAAACTCTCATCTGATTTGCAGTACTTCACCTCTGGGGCATCCAAATTATTATTAGCTGCCTCCTAACCTCTCTTTAAGGTCTTCATCTTGACAGCTTTTCTTAGCAGAGACCAGAGAAACACCCAACCAACCTCCTGGGTGTTACTGCCCCTGGATGAGCAAACAGCACGAGAGACCACTTGATGAAACACTTGCCTTTCAGAAAGAACATCATTCTGTATTCATTCTATGTAACATTTCTATACTCAGGTTGACTACAGAAAGTCTTGCTTGTCCAAGACTGTGCATTAAAACTTATAATCAACTTTATCAGGCTTGAGACAGAAGCATCTTGGATGAAATTCTCTAAGTGGGTTTAGACAGAAATTCAGTCTAGAAATCAGATCATCTACATTCATACATCCATACTACAATAATTAAAGGGAAAAAAAGAGGCAATCATCACACTGCATTAACTGCCTCTGCCTTAACTGCTTTGTTTGTCCAGAGGGGGAAAGAAAGAGTTCAAGCACACATCTCAGTGTATTCACAGAGTGTAGTCCAGCTGTTACTGCACAGAGTCCTTCCCCTCCCCTCTATCTCTTATTTCACCCTCTGTCTGGGAAAGGCCTGTTTGTTCCACCTGCTTCCCACACAAAGGTAGGTTTGAACACAAGGCACTGCTGGAAACAACGTTCATTCTGTAAGTCACACTCCAAACTACTTTATTTCCCTCTCAGGTCACAAAACCCAGCTGAAGATCCAGGGCAAACGTCCCACCTTCATCTCCTCCATCCATCTTGGTGACTATGCAAATATGTACTCAGAGCAAAGATGCACCTATCTTTTCATTTTCATCTATTTCTTTTAGACACTGTCTAATTTAAGGCAGGTAAGAAGGGCAGCAATTCAAGTCATCTGATGAAAGCAGCAAGTTGTCTAATTATACACCAAGTTGTACAACAGACTTAATGGCTGGTTCTTCCTAAGAACTATGTAAATACTCTATTTAGAAGCCTTTTTTCTTCACCATCCTAATTTGTATTCCTAAACACTGGGAACCTTTGCATGAGAAAAGATCTTTAAGAGTTCACCCTCTCCCGTGTTTATCACCCACCTCGAGTCATTAGCCTGTGACATCACACGTGGTTGCTGCGGAGACTGAGAGTATTTCTGAATGTGAACTCAGGAGGAAAATGTTTTCCATGCAAATAAAGACTAACTTGAGATGGATGAAATGAGTTATTTTCTTATAAAAAGTGTTTTACCTTCACAAAAGATGTCTGTGTAATTTCACCTACTTAACTACCATTAAGGAACTAAAAACTGGCATGATTGAAGTGTAAAGACACCTCGACAAGAGCCAAGCAGATAAAGAGCTGAACAGCCACCAGCCAGTTTCATTTTCATTTCTAGTCTGGCCTCCACAAATTGCAGATTTGGTTATCTGATTCCACGCTCTGCTGCTCGAGCAGCAGATTATTTCTGAGCTGAGGTAGCAGCTCCCACCGAGCCCTGCACCAGAGGGAACTCTCCCCAGCAGGTTCCCCGGGAGCCAAAGTGCTCAAAGGAACGCTGGGTGGCTTCGTGCCACCTGACTCGTTACAGCCTCTCTGGGAGGTGGCTCCAGCACCCGACAAACAAGCTCAGCAACATCCTCCTCCTGCTTCAAGAACAGTGAAAGACAGAAAAGAAAGACAACCACTGCTCAGCTCACCCTGCTCCATGTGAGGCAGCTCTGACGCCGTTTATTTACTGCTCCACACCAGGAAATGTCCAGGCCCCACGTGGTTCAATCCCCAAGAGTTTATTCTCCAAATCCCTTACTTACAAAAGGTGTTGCAACACAAGGCAGTGGTTACAGCTGGCAATAAGATTTACTTACAGAATCCCAGACTGGTTTGGGTGGGAAGGGACCTTAAAGCCCATCCAGTCCCACCCCCTGCCATGGGCAGGGACACCTTCCACTATTCCAGGTGGAAGCTCCAAGTCCTGTCCAACCTGGCCTTGGACACTTCCAGGGATGGGGAGTCCATCACCTCTCTGGGCAAGAGATCCCTGACACCCTCTTTATGATCTTGATCCAAAATACAAGGCTGGCTGTGCTGACAAACAATGTCCAGTTTTTCCATGCAAAGTCGGCTGTTTCACCACACACAGGATTAGCCTAAAGTTCAGCACACACGACACTCACCTTCTCCATCTCCCAAATACACACATCACCAAGGCACTGCACAAAAACCATGCTCAGTAGGGTTTATCTGGGATATTTCTACATAAAAGCAAAATTAACATAGTGGTGTAAAAATCAATTCTGTTCTAAACCAGCAGGAATTAAGTACCTTGGAGTTCTGAATGTATTAAAAACACAAAAGAAGAGCAGATGACGGTGTAGTAAGAGCAACATTAAGCATCTGTATAAAAGGTTCAAGGGTGGCCTGAGCATTTTCCGAGGTTGAGGATCAGCAAATGCTCTCTCCAGCTCACAGAACATTTCCATAAAGCTCTGCCTCATGCAGCAGATGCTCCCAAACAAGTCACTTACAGCCTCTACCCGGGTACTAATTTCCAAATTCATCTTTGAGACTGAAGAGTCTCTTCAGATCTTGGTCAAATAAAATGATGGGTTCAAAAGTTATTAGAGAGCAGGGAATGCATAAATTTTACTTCCAAAGCAAGTCACGCTACTGAGTACCTGCAGTGAGCAGATACCAAGCACACTTACGTGGTAAGAATATGGTTCACCTTCCTCCATGGGCTCATCTGCCATTTTAAGGCCATTTAGCTGGAGAGGGGAAGGGGGGGGGGGAAAGAAAGAAAAAACCAACATTAAAACACAACAATTTCAAATTAACAGAGTTCCTCATTTGACCAATTTACATTTCAGAGCACACAAGTGAAAACTCGTGTTCTTGTTGCTCTAATTTAAAATTGTAGTTTCAAACACTACTACTCAGTAGTTATATTTAGCATCTCCCTTATGTATCATTTAGCAGATCCCTTTGTGAATGCCATCATTATTATTATGCCAGTGTTATTTAATTGGAATTAGTTTAAAATTCCTTCTTTAAAAGCTATGGTCACCATCCATACAAGAGGACATTCATATAAAATCCCCCTGCTATGCCAAAAAACTGTGTACAGGTGCTTTTCAGAGACCTAAAATCCTAAAATCTGATGATGAAAATTAATTTGCAGTTTGAAGAGAAAAGATTCACAAGTAATTTCAAGTCTTTTTGAAAATACCAAGTCCAGGGTTGCAACAAGTTTAAAAGTTAAAGCTCTGCCTAAGTTACAAACAATTCAATGGTGAAACTTTAAAAAAATACCAAACCCCAGAAATATGAAGGACATGCTCTGCTCAGACATGCAAAACATTAATTAAAGACTGGAAATACCTGACAAAAATAGGTGAATCCCATTGTGGATTTTGCTAGTAAAAACTGCTAATTTATATGTGAATGGTTCAGCATCACCACCTTTAACGGGGCACAGATCTCACCCCAAAATACCAGAAATAACAGAAGGAAACAAACTATATTTTTCCTGAAATAAGAAGTTGAACCAATTAAGTTCTCAGACTGGGTAATGACTTTTGTTGTTGTTGTTGTTGTTGTACTCCTGAATTTATCTCAAATCCCTGCCTAAGATACCAAAATCTGGGAATTGGTAAAACCCAGGACTACAGAGACTCTGGAAACGCCACCCAGACTGTGCCCTTGATTAAACCAAACCCCGAATGTGGATGAACAAGAAGGGCTGGAGAGGCAGGTTGGTACCACCTCAGCAAACCTCAATCCCTTCCACTGCTGCTACACACTCCTGGTTTCAACTGGAGCCTTTAAAAGCTAATTCATAAATTCATGATTCTGATAAAATGAAATGACCACTTTTTGCATCAAGATACTGCCACTTATTTTTGGATTTTATCCTCACTTAAAAAAAAAATTAAGGAAATAGCAGAGGCTTCATTTGTTTCACTCTTCAAGTTCCTGTTTATTAGAACTCCAGTTTATACACACTCTCCTCACATGAACTCAGTTTAACCAACCCATGCTCACCATCCAGATCTCCTGTATCACCCCCTTGTTTCTAAAAGCCTCAAATCACTCACTCATTACCCTAAACTGAGAACCCAATGCTACGAATTTACATCATTTGTTTCTTTTTTTTTTTGCCCACATATTTTATTCCAAATTAGATGCTGGGAGGGGTGAGACACCCACTAAGCTTGTTACTGTGTGAATTAACTCGATACATCACGAAATAACACCAAATCTCAGCCCAGCTCTGACCTCCAACCTCACTTGAGATGATGCCATGTCATTTCCTTGCACAGTGTCATGAGATTACACTCAAGTGTGAATTAATGTGACACCCACCAAAACTGTCCAAAAAGCTTATTTGGAGCTAGTAATAAAAGGGATTTCCACTCCAGACACTCAGAAATGTAATTACATTCTTCATTCATAGAGTTAAATTAGAAGCAAATTGAGTGCACATTTCACCTTTTCTTTCTTTCTTTATGGTCCACATTTTCCAAGTTTTGTTAAATTTAAGCTCTGGAACCAACACTTCAGCCAGAAGAACTGCGGATACTCTGAAAACAGCACTTAACTCCAGGCAATCAGCCACAAAAACTGGGGGTTTGAACCCAAAATCAGCGTGTTATTCGATCTATTTTGTCCCTGAGCGCACCAACGAATCACACTTTCAACCTGCTGACAAGTCAAATACACTAAGTCACTGGATTTTTATGGCAAGTAATCATCTTAATTAACAATTTCCTATTGTACACTTTTCCCTTTCATTGCTGCTCCTTGGATTGTGTGTGTTTTTTCCTGCCCAGTCTCTCTCTTCCGATACAGACTGGGACACCTGCCAACTTCTAGTCCAGAGAATTTCATGTTCAAGGGCATGAAGCTACTTTTATTTACTTGATGTAACAACTACACTTCTGCCTTACTTCTTTGTGAACCCTGCTCACTGTCCATTAAAAAAAAAAAAAAACAAACCAACAAACAAAACAAGTAACAAAAGACAACAAATGAGTTGGAACTCAAGTAGTTTTAGTCATTCAGTTAAAAAAGTCAATGGCAGAAATTAAATCTTAACTGCTCAATTACTTATAGTGGCCAAGTTTCCACTGTCCCCCTCAATAGGCAAAAAAGTGACAACTAATAATTATTTTCCACGTCTGTGGAAGGCAGAGACAAAACTGAGTTTCCTCAATCAACGTGATTTAATCATGAATATTTATGCACAAACATACGTAGAGCATGACTATTTTCACCTTTAAGTAATTACTTGTATCTTATATTACTAAATATCTATGACTGCAGAAATTTAAACTATCATTAAAGAGCACAGGTCTCTCTAAAGGGAACAGTTAAAGAAGCCATGCTATGATTCTAAAGAGATTCCTTCATCCTTGAATCGTTTTGCTGCCCAGTGTTGTGAGAGTCCTACACCCAACTGACCATTTTAAATATTAACTTCCAGGAGAACGCAACCTGAAACTCAAGACATTCAGCAAACAGTGACAAGCTCTCCAAATACAAATTTAGGAAATTACAGAAAGTGCTTCATGCTGTTGATTGGTATAAAACAACAAAAGAAACCATGTCAACAGATGAGCTCCAAGTTCAGGTGGGACCCACCTGGCAGGTAAGAACTTACTTTTGCAGAGGTGCAGGTCCAGGGGAGCCAATGCTGTGAGTCCCAGCTGCTCCTGGTTTAAATAGTTGCCCTGGATCCCATGACTGGCCAGGACCAGACCCCATTCCCTTGGGAGAACATCCAAAGAGCTTTGTGGGCTGCTAAAAGGCTTAGCTGCTATTGCACATGTTTTCCCTCTGGTAATTACAGAGGAATCCCAGTGTCACCAAAGATTTGAACCCTCTTTCCCTCCCCATATTAAGGATGTTTTGGCCACTTAGGTGGTAAATGTGTTATGGTTTGGTGGGTCTGGAGGGTTGGGTTGAAAGAAGCCAAAGGTCAGCAAAAATGCCAAACCACAAGGAAAAGCAGGAGGTGGAAAGCTGGTTCATCCTGCCCTGTTTCTACAGGTCTGCATTTAGGCATTCAAACAGAATTAAATATTCTCTAGAAAAAGCAGAACTGGGAATTTTATCATCACACTACTATCAGAAGTGGAAAGCATATTCCACTCACATAACATCTTGGTGGTTTCAAACAGGTAAAATTCTACCTAAGGATCACCAAAAGCTCCTGATTCCTCCACAGGTTCTCCTTCCATTTGGGAAGTCACTGCAGGGCCACCAGACCTGCACCCTAATTCTCCCAAATGAGCACAGGACTAACCAGTTCCCTTCCCCACAGACAGAAGTACCACCTCAAATACTTATTTCAAAATATTCCAGTGGAAGCTTACATTGGAAACCCCAATTATTTCAAAAGGACTTTGAAAACAAATCCTTTGAACAAAAATTCTGTTAGGACAATTACATTTGTTCCTCATTTATTCTTAATTACATTAATAGAGAGTTTGAATCATTAATTTAATTAGCAACACACTGGCCTACTGAGTAATTCCTGGGATAGCTTTGAGGAATTTGGGGGTTCTGTGCACAGCCAAACAGGTGAGGGGGTTCCATTATTTTTTATTAATATCTAAAAGTCAATGTGAACAAAACTGAAGCTTAAAGGCATATCTTCCTATGAAACATCCCCAACTCTTCTCCACTTTTCTCACACACTCTTTAACACGCTGACTGGAAGGGGAAGATCAAGCAATCTGCCTTATAATAAAATAAGTTAAAAAAAAATGAAACCCATAATCAATTACGAGGGAAAGTTGTAAAGCTCTTTTCCTGTGGCAAATAAATCATATGTTCAGCCAGGACACCAAACCTTCAGCAACATATAATTACTGATCTTAAAGGGAACATTTTGATCCTTCCCATTCTGAGATAGGAGAATGATGTGTGCCTCAAACTGGTTAATAAATCACATCATTCCTTGGGTTTAGGGTTATTGGGATGTCTCTCCAAAAGTATCCCGCAGGAAGCAAGATGAACCACCTGCAATAGCCCACTGGCTCCTTTTAGAGCCCAGAATATCACAGCACATTTCCAAAATTATCTTTAAAAGTGGTATTCTAAACCAGAAAATCATTATTATTGCATTGCAGCACTTTTCAATGCATAAAGACACTCATTGTTTTCCCTTTAAGAGCATTAATGTGCATACTTTTTTTTTTTTTTAAAGGCAACTTGTTCAGAAAAGTCTTTCTAAAATTGTTGCAGCGGCCAAGGGCACTTCATTCAAATTAGGGGCAGTACTTTTACTTTCTTTTCTTTAAGGTAACACCACGGGGTTGTGGAGATTTTCAGAGATGCACAACTAGGTAGCTGAGTCATCCACGTCACTGCCAGTAATTACTCACAAAGGAGTTATGCAACCCCCAACACTGACAAAATTCAGTGGCCTTTGACAGAGCAGGCTCCCAACGTGCTCCAGAGGATGCACTGCACTCACTGCCCCAAATCAAAGCTGTGTTTATTGAAGTTGGCACGGGCAGCAGTTCCTGCACAGCAGCAGCAGCAGCAGAGCTCAGCTCCTGAGCATGCCTTTGGGAGGGCACCAACTTCCAACGCAGCCCAGTTTTCCAGCACAGTACTCGAGTTTTCTGCCACTTTGCTGTTTCAGCCTTGTCCTCCCTGTCACAATCAGGCAATTAAGCAACTGGTTCCTGAGGTATTTCTTGCAAAAGTAAGTATTTGAGTGTGAGGCTGCATTTATGCAATTCCCAGTATTCCTGGATTGCACACAGCATGTGCTTACGTCAACTACACAGTCCTGTTAAATGCAATCCTCCCTGTCCAGTGGGCAGAAAATTCCCAAATTATCATATCCTGCCCAATTCCAACTAACTCTGTGCTTCGCTCAGCTCCATCAATAAAATGTGAACAATTATTTTCCTGTTTCTTTGTAGACTGTGATCACATTTTAATAATCTGCAACAGCTGATTATCATCAACACCCTCACGCCTATTTTTATTACCAGAAAAACACGTATTAATCCAATATTCAAGAGGAAAGAAGCTCGCTGGATGTTTGATGCTTAAACAGCACGACACCAGCTCTTCCTACCTGGGCTTAGGAAATTCCCAGAGTCCCAAAACTGCTCCACGAGCAACAGTCACAGGAACGTAAGGACAGACAGGAACAGTACAGTGCTCAGCCCAAAACCCCTCAGCACTTCAAAGACCCTCCCCAAAAAAAGGACAGAATAATTCAATCCTAAATTTCAGTAATTTCTTCCAAAAGTTCATGTTGTTATTGTGAGTTGAAGGGAGGAAACAAATGTTGGTGCTTCAAGATCACATCCCTCCCTTGCCAACTGCATTTACTCAAGTCAACACAAGTGCTACTGGAAATGCACTTATTGCTAATAATCCTGAATTTAGTCAACAAGCAGACTCCTCAGGTTTTTCCTATTCCACAGCAGATGAACACCAGGAAGTACAAGTTCATCTTCAAAATAGAAACCTATTTCACAGTGACTCTGTAGACTGCAGTTCCAGCAAGGCCCGGGTCCCCAACACCTCTCTGCCCATCCAAGGACCATGGGCTACAGTTAATTCTATAAAATTAAAAGTGAAACTGCAACCCAAAATCCATTTTAACATAAAACACGCCTTGCTAAAATCCCCGAACCACGTGAACGTGAAAATCCAACAAGTGAAAAGCACAGCACATCCCTGAGATGCACTTCTGGAAAGGGTTATGACAACAAGTATTGTTGACGACAACAACAATATTCCTGAAGAACAGATCAACAGGACCAAGAGAGTTCTCAGACTTTCATTAAGTTTCATACCTCAACTACAACACACTATTTTTACAAACCATAAAATGAATTAAATAAGCCTTCATACTTCTGCTGACTTTCTAATCCTGTAGCTTCACTAACATAATTAGGATTTCTCTAATATTAAGGTACAGGGAGTGCATCAAAGTATTATTAGATCATTAGAATATTTTAAAGTATTAGAGCATAGCAGCCATCCTGTAAAAATGCATGTCCAGTAATTACAGTACTTGGAAGTGGTACTAAACAACCCCAAATATTAAAGATGCCAAGAAATTTGGGGTTTCTTTCCCTTTCTATGTATGCATTTTTATCAGAGCATAAAAATTCAATCGGACATCCTTTCGCTCTTCCCAAAACTTTCTCTTACTCCTGTTTTGCACACTTTGTACTCAGACGTGATTTTGCCACAGATCTTTTTACTTCCAATAAGAGAGGTCTGCTGCATCCCAGAAAGCAAGTCTGACCAGTTTGAAGCAGCTTTATTTAGATAACATCTTTTGTGTGTCTAACAGACCTCGGTGTAATCTTTTATTTGTCATACCTGACGATACTCGATACGCAATCCCACGCTTCTGATTTCAAAGTGCAAGAGTTTTAATACCCGAGCACCACGTTCTGCTGAGGCACCAGAGCTCGTTGCAACACAACCAGCTTTACCTTTTTATTTCCTTTTAAACGGCATCTGGTGCTTGCTGATGGAAGCACCCCGAGTGCTAAGCAATACCTAGGAGATGCTCCCCCGATTTTTAAACACGTTTAAGCATCCCAAGCTCAGTCAGGCACTCCTGGCTCTCTCTGCTCGTTGCGTGTGTGATAACTAAAGCAAGGTTAGTTATTCAGCGTTTAAGCATCCAAAGCTCACTCAGGCACTCCTGTACCTCAATCAGGCACTCCTGGTTCTCCCCGCTCGCTGTGTGTGTGATAATTAATGTATAGTTAGTTATGCAGCGTTTAAGCATCCAAAGCTCACTCAGGCGCTCCTGGTTCTCTCCGCTGAGAGAATGTGTGTGTGATAATTAACGTATAGTTATCCAAGGAGAAGGAAAAGGGATCTCTCCGGCGACAACCCACCCGGCCGCGCAGCCACAACAACACGCGCAAATATTCAGCGGAACTTAAAGTAACTTTGCACGGTCCCCGGAGCGAGTTCGCGCGGAGCGGGGCCGGACACCTGTGACACGGGGGAGGCGACACAAAGCCCCGGCCTCCCCGGGCCGAATCCCGCTACCTCCGCACGTGTGCCCGCCCGCCCGGGGCAGCGCCGGGCCCGGGGCCGCCGCCCGGGGCTCGGGGGCGGCTCAGCCCGGCCCGGGGGCGGGCGGTGCGGGAGGGCCGAGCGGGGCCGGGCCGGGGGAGCGCGGAGGGCCGGGGTTGGGGGGGTATCCCGGGGAAGGGCAGGCGGTGCGAGTTCGCAGCGAGGCTCGCCCGCGGAGCCCCGCTCGGCCGGGGCAGGGCAGGCCGGGCCGGCCGCAGGTGCGGGCGGGGCGCGGGGCCGGCCCGGCGCGTTCCCCCCCACCCACCACCACTACCACCACCACCACCCCCACCACCACCGCCGCCCCCCGCCCCGCACTGACCTCGGCTCCGCTCACGCAGAGCTCCATCCTGCGGCAGGGCTGCGGCTCGTCCAGCGGCGCGCTCGGCACCATGTCCCGGCGCAGCGGGCCCGGCGCGGCTCGGGCGCTGCCGGCCGGCGGGGGCGGCGCCGCGCTGCGCTGCCCCGCGCACGCCCCCAACATGGCGGCCCGCGGGGGCGGGGCCTGCGCGGCCCCGCGGTGACGTCAGGGCGGGACGGAGAGAATCCCCTGCATGGTCGGGGGGGGGGGGGGGGGGGGGGGGGGGGGGGGGGGGGGGGGGGGGGGGGGGGGGGGGGGGGGGGGGGGGGGGGGGGGGGGGGGGGGGGGGGGGGGGGGGGGAAGGGGGGAATGGAGGGATTTTGGGGTGGGGAGGCAAGGGGAGAAAGGGCCGGGTGAGGAGAGTGGGAATGAGGGATAAGGGGTGAGGGGAGTGAGAATGAGGGGATTGGGGTGGGCACAGGAGGTGAGGGACAGGGGGTGAAAGGACTGGGATGAGGGGATTGGGAGTGAGGGATGGGATGAGGGAACAGGGGGCGAGGGGGGACGGATGAAGGGCAGGGATCAGGGAATTGGGGTGAGGGGATTGGGGTGGGGCGACAAGGAGTGAGAGCGATCGGGGCTGACGGACCGGGACTGAGGGGGACCGGCCCCGACACACGGAAAGGACCCCGGTGAGGAGGGAGGGAGGGAGGGAAGGCTCTCCCGGAGAACCGACAGAAGGGAAGGAAATAAAAAAATTAAAAAATAAAATAAATAAAAAAATAAAAACACCACGAAAGTTTAGTTTAATTTTGTTTTTCGAAATGTCGAGGTGTCGGGACGGGAAGCGCGGGCGGCTGAAGGCGGCGGGTCGGAGCGCGGTCCCCCCGCGGGACGTGGGAAGCGCGGGGGAGCCGCGTGGAGCAGCTTCCCCCTGGTTACGGACACGGCGGGCTCCTTTGTCTCCAAGCGTGTGCTCGGGGAGAAAACAACAGCGTTTCCAAAACCCGAGCGGGGGGGGGGGGGGGGGGGGGCAGGAAAAACACTACGGATGAAAAAGAAAA